AAAGATTAAATTTAGTACCAGTCAATTGCTATAAATGTTAATAAACGTATTTTTTTCGCTCGAAAATCGTTCGCTTTACTTTTATTCTAATCGAGAATATTCCACAAATATTTCAAAAATAAATATTCTTAAATATTCTCTAAAATCTTTAAAAAAAATTTAAATTTGTAATATTTCGCAATTTTGCTTTTTTCTTAAAAAAGTAAAACTAAAAAAATTTAATAAAGCGAAAAATCTCTCTTTGCATTAACTATTATAATTAACTCTCTGAATACGTTATTACCAAAGAAATAAAGAAAGATTAAAACCAAGCAAATAAACACTTCAAAAATTTCCATCATTTCCGACAAGAAAAACCTGTTTGTTTTACAAAAAAAACGATGGCACCAAACATTATTATGAACATTATTATGAATAAATTAAGGGAAAAGAAGAAACAGAAATTTACATGAGATCGTTGCGAAAATTAAGAGCAAGGAACATAAAAGTTTCCAACGTTAAGCCAGTGTGCGTCCTCCTCTCCGTTCACTTCACCTTTGCTTACCTATTGGATGATGGTTTTTCTTTTAAATTTTATCTAATTCCTCGTTCCAAGATATAATTAAGATATCTACAGAAAAAAGAAGCAAATATTTTAAAATGTATTTTTTGGCGGAGATGACTCTTTCACAAGATAATAACCTAGAAAAAAACCAGAAGTGCATCCCCAGCATTATTCGGACTATACTTTTAATAAAAGATTTGCGTAAACAAGGAAAAAAAGAAGCGAATCTTTTGAATTTAACAAGTTCAAGAAATCCAAATGATAAATTAAATAAATAAGAAAAAATAAAGAAATATTGAATTGGACAAAATGGCTTAACCTATGCATACAGATTTGTTCCAATGACATATAATCATAGGTAGAATAAATTATCAGCAAGCGCAATTAAAAACAAAATTAATAATAAACTTAAAATATAGTCAGTGTTCCTATTAAATTAAGTTAAATAAAAAGAAAAGAGCGGCAAATATAACCACATGTGAGAAGAATATACAACTAAAAACACTACTACAATATGTCTTTAAAATATCAAAAATTTAAATTTCACCTAAATATTTTCAAAATAAATAAATTTTCACAAAAAAATATTAATAAAAAAAATAAAACAAGTAAGTGAACTAAAATGAGTTAAATAAATAAAAAAAATATTAATAAAAAAAATAAAACAAGTAAGTGAACTAAAATGAGTTAAATAAATAATCGAGGAGTAAATTTCGTAATGTGAGGTGCTTATGGAATTAATGCAACACAGTGATGATAAGGTGATAAAAATGATTTATAAAATAAAAACAATTGATAAGAAATGATATTTTAAAGAAAATTTCGGCTTTAAAATTGCCTTATCTCTTAAAATTATTGATCCAAAAGTTTCTCACCTATAAATGCCAAAAATTTTTAGAAAAATAAAATATCTCAAAATCGCTTAGATAAATAAGGACAAAAAAGATGAAAAATAAAGCCGGAATCTTTGAAAATCATTTCTAATGAAAATAGTATTTTTGAAAGTGGAACAATTGACAAAAAGCAAAACTAAATCAAGAAGATCAAGAATTTTTCTCCCCATTTTTTGCAATTTCGAACTAAATAATGCAGATAATATAAATCATCTATAATCGATTTCAAACAATAAAAACGCTTGGATAATTGATCAGTTAAATTTCAATTCGAAAGCATTTTTCAAATTTTTTGGAAGGATTTCTCTTTGTGGGAAATCATCCCGTGGATATAAATTTAATTCGTCATTAGCCTTCATGCATATGAAATAGAAATTTTATCAAGTCAAGTATCATCTACAAATCGCGTTTGATCATTGTCAGTATCAAAAAATTATATTCCTAAAATAATAATAAAATCCTACATCAAACTGTGGGTTTAACTCACATTTAAAATTTATTCATAGCTGCAAAATCGCAAAAGTCAACGGTGAACAAGCGAATGTGTCAGAAAGTACAAACTATTGCATAAAATATTGGTTTACTGAAATAATTTCAGTATAGAAATGGCATGATATACCACTTTCATCAAACCGATAATTTCGTCAAGATCATTTGAATCAGCAATTTTCGTTGCCGCCCAATCCATTTTATCTTTTACTGTTATGATAACGTTATAGGTGTCCAATGGAACTGTTATCGATGGCTGTGTTGTTAAATTTACTGGTGATGCCTACAAATTCACTTTCTATCGAATAGCGACCATTTTCGACAAATCTCATTAATTAACTGAAAATTTCATTTATCCAATCTACTACTTTCGCCCTTAATCCGTTGCCTATTGGTCGAGTGATTGCTCAGATTACCGTCTCAAGCATCATGATTCGTCGCATGCTTTGCTAAGAATAAACCAATCATTTGTAATAAATGCAAATACCAACCTATTTTATATTGCTAAATATCTTACCTAAACAGCTAGTACAGTGAGTCTAACCAGAAATGAGTGCTAACTATTAATTAAATAATTAACTAAATTTACATTTGCACCAGCCGACGTTTCTTCAGATATTAAAGAAGTCTCATTTAGCGATTCATCTTTTTTATCAATCCCATTTGAATAATTTTGCTGCAAAACATCTATTAAACGATAAAAATAATAAAAAAAAATGCAAAAATAAAAAAACCGATTCAATTACCAAATTATGAAAGTTCTTGAACGTTTTGATAATGCTATTCGTAAAAATTAGCAAAAAAACCTGTGAAGAATTGGAACGACATAAAGCAATATGTTGAGAGATGGCATCGGTGCTTAATGATTGTAGTTCAAGTCCACAAAATAAACAATGGTTTCCAGCTAAACGATTCTTCCACAAATTGGTATTAATTGATGATTTATTCGATTTATTTGACCGAGCCTTATCTTCTGTAAAAGATATCTCCTTAATACTTAAAACCAGTTGCTATGGTTTGATCATTTATCTTAAAAAATAATTGTAGATTACAATTGCTCGTTGCTCTGCAATTATATTGCCCTGAGTGAAAGTTATGTTCCATAATTAAATTGATCCCTAAAAAGAAGATAAAACCTTTGGGTGCTGATGTCGACTCTGGAAAAGATAACCGATTTGTCACACCATTGGTTTGTTGATCTAATTCGTTTGTACAATTTATAGCATCATTTTTCTGAAAAAAATATAGAAATTATAAATATAAAATATAAAAATTTCGTAAAAATTTAAGCAATAACGGAGATCTGCGTTCTGAAAAAAAGGGGAGTGGGGAAAAAAACGAATAAGCACTAACCATTGTTGCATTTACCATTCCAAGAAGTAATTCAGAAATTGATTTTGAGCATGAATGATTTCCTTCCGAAATCGTATAATTCGTTTCAATATTTGATGCCGTAGTAGAAGCTGCAGCTACACTTACAGTTATTGCATTCGCGGTCGAATTCGTTGTATCTGCACTTGAATTATTCGATTCATTACCCATAATAAGATTTGCTTTTTGCGAAACTTGATATCGCTTCATTGCACGATAACATGACGACATTGGCATCTAAATCACAATCACAAAAAAAGTCAACATAAATGGTACAATGGATCTCAAACTGGAACCTTTTTGAAAATTTGAAAAAACCAACTTTAAGTTTTTCAGCGATTTTCTGTAGCGTTAATCCCTGATCCCTCCAATATTGAACTATTTTACCATCTTCTAATGTTAAATGCTTTCGCCCACTTAATGACATAAATTCATTCGACATTGAAGAACCTGTAAAATCTGGGAAGAATATTATTCTATGAACGATCCCACAAAAAGAGAGGTAATAATTGGCTGAAATATTAAAGAATGACCATTCGATGGAATAATTTAGTGGGTAAGATAGGAGTAAACTTGTTTTCAAAAACTCGAGTGGTGCTGGCCTACCTGCACATGTATATCTGACGCCAAATGATTTTCTGGCTAAATTTATCTGGTCCTACAAGCCAGTTAAGCGAGTCCAAGAATGGTGCTGCAGAAGAAAATATATTTTTTATAAATTCGACAGTTCCAAATCTCTATATTCTCGATTACTGAGATTTTCTTAATCGGTAGATAGGATATTCTTTCGGCGGTGGCCAAAAACAATACAAAAAATTTTAAAATATTTACAATTTGAAAAATGAACCAACATTTGCGTTTCGCTTCGCTTTCAGTTTTTTCACTTTCGTCATTTGGCGACGATTCAGTTTGTAGTCGTTTCTCTAGAAATATAAAATGATCTTTAGTAAATAACATGCAGTAATAAAATGTTCATAAAATATAAAACATAAAATGTTCATCATGCAGAAACAATCGATAGGCCATGTAGGGGATCAAAATAATAAAAATAGTAATGAAAAAAAGTAAAATAATGAAAAAATAATTAATGAAAAATTATGATGGATAAATTAGAAAAAAATATACTTAAAATCGTTGGTATATTTGCAAATATTTCAGCAGTAAGTTGATTTTCAACCTTAAAAAATTCAAAATTATTTCCTGAAAATATAGACTTTTACAATGAAAATTTTTAATTTAGCCTTAAAAAAATTATTGAAAAAATCAGTTCCAACAAACCCCTAAATTTAAAAGAAATCAAGAGAAAAGAAATCAAACAAGAAAAGAAAATTTATTTCCCATCAGTCCATGAAAAAATAACCACTCAATTTTATATAATGGGGAATAAAAGCCGAGTAGATCAGATTCTCGCACTGAGAGTCAGTGACTGAACCTCTGTCCCCGACAAATTTTTCATTAAGAAATCCGTACTAGTGATCCATCAATACTTCCATTGTCAAGGAAAGCTCGGGCCAGAAATGGCAGGCGTTTCTTATTCTTCTTAACTTTCCTACTGTTCTTTAAAATATGTATTGAAATTAACTGACTGCCTCCTTTGCTCGCCGTTTCAAACGTACTTCGGCTTTTATTTTATCCCAATATTCATCGGGCAATCGTAATTTTTTTATCGCAGTATAGCAATTCGTCATTGGTACCTGAAGAAGAAAAAGTTGCCAGTATCATTAGCATTATTGTTTAGGACACAATTTTCTCAAGATCACGATCCATTTCTTTTTTATAGCCTTCCAATACAACCAATAAACAGAATGGTAAATGGTAAGTCGGATGGCTAAAATGAATACATACAATATATAACCATTCTTGCTATAGAGAGGGTGGTCCAGTGGTATATTTTTTCGACTAATGTCAAGTCATCGAAGGTTTATTCGTATCTTTGACGGGAATACACATGTCATCAAAAATGCAATCCAGGTGATGCTGGGGACTTCGGTTGTATTTCTATCCTCAAGTGACTCTGTGGTGAAAAAATTCTTGTAACAGTATTAATCGTGTAGCAAATCGGAAACTATGAATGGCGAGCTTGAGCAAAAAAACGAGAAACTAAAAAAAATATTTCAGTTGTACCAAAAAAAATATACATTTAAACGTTCGGAAATAAGACGAAATGTCCATCCCTGCTCTTTGAGGAATTTCACTTGTTCACCAAGATTTTTACCTGAAATTAACCTTCACTATATTCACGAGTTCACAAGCTTCTTGAAAAAGCCACTGAAAGAGAAGACCGAGCAGCTCTAAAAGGAACCGTGCTTATTTGTATCTGTACTTCTGGTCCAAATAGCAACTCGTCAATGAAAATTCATAATCCAACAAAACCAGAAATGTGGAGAAACACATGAAACCAAATCCTTAATGATATTCGAATTCAAGAAACCGCACCTTGTAGCTCTAAATCATAAGCGTTCGGATGGACATCTAGATCGAATTCATTTGATTTACCGCTAGTCTGACTTGCACAACGGGAATCGGGTTGCGATTCAAATCCATCACTATCCGATACAACAATGAATTGTTCCTGATTCAGCAACTGACTTTCATCACTCGTAGATTGTAAATTGACCTTTAAACAAATCGAGAAAATTAAGGAATATAATCGAAACGGTAGGGCTAACAAAGCTTTGCTTCGTTTAGCTTCGTTTAGGCTGAATTCCAAAACATTAGAAAATTTCGATTTTTCATATAATTTTCGGCAAAATTTGGAGTTCTTGTAAAATTTTCTGAAAAAATCGAAATTTTTTTTTTAAAAATGGAGTATAACCTTCGATAATAAATTGCGTTCAATTAATTTTCCATTATTCTCGTAAATTAATCGATATGTTAATTCATCATTTTTTGCCATATCGACTGAAGAAAAAATTTTTATATTTTCATATTTTAAATCAATTTTTAAAAAATAATGAAAAAAATATGACGAATAGAAAACATTTTGAACGATTTATATTCAACGACAAAAAATACAAAAAAAATCAAATTTAAGGAATATTTCGAAAAAAAATCAACGATTGGTTTGAAATTGGGAAATTGAAATAAATTTCGTGAAAACAAAGAAATAAATCGGTTGACCCTTAACCCGAAACCCTATTTAACTTCACGTTTCCCTAAAGCAAGGAAGAAGTAAAAAATCAGTTAGCGGGTCAGCGTTTAAGGCTCAATCCATTGACTATTAGTTCGGCTTGAAATTTTTGTCACAGAGTTTAGCGATAAAAATATAGATGGACTGTCAAAAACTCCGGAGACCGTTTAATAACTGTTTTACCATTTTCTCGGATGCAGTAGCCAAAACTTTGCCTCTCAATAACTATTACTGTTCACTCTGCTAATGTTCTACTACTATTCGAACTACTGTTCACTCATCTATCTTCTCTATTCATAAAAAAAATCAGAAAAAAAGTTGGCAGCCTTCGATTAACCACTTTTACAATTTGCCTAGAACCTGGTGCCTGGTGCTTAGGACCACTGAACTATCGCCGGCCACAGACTATTTAGTCGGTGTGTTTTTTTTCTTTCACATCTTTATTTTCTTCTGTTTCTTCTTCGGCAACAATTCACTCTGTTCGCTCGTTGCCTTTCAGCTTTACGTTTTAGTTGCAGTGGTCCGGTGATTTCTTATTTTGGCTAAAGCGAACAAGTTCCCTTGATAGGGATGGTGTTATGAAAAGTGAAACTCGATGACTGACGACTGTCACCTATACTTCTATCGAAAATTTTCTCACCTTAGCAGCGAAGTCAGTTAAACTGGAAATCAAACCGGAAATGATAAATGCTAGATGAAGGAAACGGCGCCTGCGAACTGAGTATCATCATAATCCAGTGTTAATTTTTGGCTCAGCTTACGAGAGATGAAAGTAAAAAAGGCTTCTGAGCATTTGGATTTCACGTTTAATAACTGATTTACTACCATCAGTGAAAAAGAAACGAAGCGATTATCCACAATCTTAGTCAAAGCAACTTATCACTCGAACGAATATCGTATCACTATTGATTATTCGATAATCGGATTAATTATAAAATATTTCACTAATTAATTTCTAAATATGTACGAAAGAAATAAAAAATGATATCAGTATGACAAGTGATACAAGTAAATAATTTTTTATTTAAGAATTCCTTTTTTACGAAAAAATTTTTTTTTTAAATTTTCATTCCAAACAACAATAAAATAGCACCAAAAAGAACAGAAAATAATACAAATAATATAATAAAAAAAATATTTTCGATGATAATTCGTTGAAACAAATGCAAGAAACCTAGGAAAAGCTTTCTTCTATTAAAATAGTTTTTTTAGAGGCAAAAGTATTGAGAGACACGGTTCGCTTGCTGCTGTTGAGTAAACCGGGGAGTAAACCTGTTATTAAAAATTCCGGGAGGTGCTGGCAATCCACCTTTTCTTCTATCAACAGTAGTGATAACCATGCTTTTATTTAGATATTAATTTGCGAAGATTCAGCAATTATTTTAGTAATAATTTCATTGAATTTGCCTCCATTTATCAGTGAATCTTTCTTCTATTTTTTGGGGAACACTATAGCCGACAGGAGAATAAACTCGTTATCAAAGAAATCCGAGAGTTGGATGGTGAACCACTTGCACTTCTATCGCCAAGCATAGACTCCTTAGCAAAGATTTCTAACCATAAAGCAGCCAAGCGAACCAGCCTAACTACAAATAACGAGCACTAACCACTTAATTATTTATTTTTCTTACAGAGTTTTTTAGAAATCCATCAAAAAAAAGATTTATAATAAAATGGAAACAGACGAGAAAAAGAATGAAAAATTACTTTTTTTTCATTAACCTTTTCAACCTTTAATTATCCTTTTAAAGTAAAATTCAATTGGAAAAGAAACTTGTTAACTTGTCAAATTTAACAATACAGTTTATGGTAATGAATATTTTTATAATTCATGATAACAATAAAAAATAATGATAAATAGTGATAATAAACAACAAAGAATAATAATAGTAAAAATAACAAAAAAATAACAAAAATAATATTTATTGGTAGCAACTTTATGCACAATTCGAATGAAAAAAATTATCTAAGTGACTGAATGATACAAAAATTTTCTTTCACCTTCTTTACTCCAGAAATGTAGAAAAAAGAACAAAAAATTCCGGTTTTTTTGTGAAAATTTGTGGAATTTCGTAAAAGGAATTAATATATGGAAAAAAGATCTTTGGAAGGGAAATAAAATTTCATGAAATTTTATTTATTATTTATATTTATTTATATATTCTAATAAAAAATGACTGAAAATAGAATGCTGAGGTATACTTAATAGGAAAGAAAAAAATGAGAATTGGGATCAGTTAACCGCATAGTTCAAACGATTATTTGTATGAGACAAAAAAAAAAGAATATTGTGCAGTTTCTTTTAAATTTATTTATAATATTTTATAAAACGAACGAAAATATAATTGTTTTTTATCGTTGAAAAAAATTTTAAACGGTGCAAAATTAAAGTGAATTAACGAGAAAAAGAAAATTTTTTAAGCAAAAAATTAAAAAATCGAAATTTAATAAAAATTTTTGAATAAAAATTAATCAGAAAATGAAAGTAGTAATTTTTAAATTTTTCCATGTTTTTCAGAAAATAGTAAATTCTGAAATATCAAAAAAATTTCCCAATTTAAAACGGCACTCAAAAATCCAGTTTTTCAGCACTTTTTTGCAGAAAAAATGGAAAAAACGAGAAAATTTCGTTTTTTAAAAAAATGGGAAAAACGAAAGAAAAATTATTAAAACGAAAACTTCGAATCGATTAATTTTATTCGTTTCGTTTTTTTTCGATTTTTTTATTAAAGCGCAAGGCAAAAAAACGCCGTAAACCGGGAATTTTTTTAAATAAAAATAATTTCGAAAATTTTTTAATTTTTTGCAGAGGAATTGAAAAATCTACTTTTTTCATGAATAAGGTCAAAGGTCGAAGGGGCTATGTCCGCGAAAATTTTCAGTTTTTCATTGCTTTTGCGGAACGAAAAACGAAAATATTCGTAAAAAAAATTTTTTTTCTCAAAACTCAACAAAAATCCTTTTATAAAATTTTTTTCGAAATTTTTATTGAACACACCCTCTCTCTCTCTCGCTCTCTTTCTTTCTCTCTCTTTTTCTCCTCATTTCCCCTCCTTTTTCTTTCACTCACTCCCCGATTCTCTTTCCTCTCTCCTTCTTTCTCATTCTTCCTTCTATCCCTCGCCCTCTCTGGCTCTCTCCTTTCTTCCACTCTCTGGTCGTTATACCCTTTAATTTTTTTTTCTATAATTCTCTTTTTAATCAATATTGTTTCGTTCTGCGATTTCTCTGGCCGTCATCTCTGCATATCCAAATTTTACACTATCTTTCCGTAATATTGTTTCGACTTTTTGAGCGAAAAATTGATTTTTCATCTTTATCTCTGTTACTCTCATAATTTACCATAATCCTTTGTTAATAATTGATTTTTATTATTCTCGAGATAAACAAGTCAAGTGACGTCATCAAGATTTAGCTTTTATTTCACTTTTTTGCTGAAAAATTTCGATAGGTCCGGGTTAAAGGTCAGGTTGGATATAATTCGAAAATTTTTGATTTGAAACTTTGTATGCATAAAATTTAAGTTGAAGAAATTTGGCGCAATTTGTGGGTGAATTATTTTTTATTTGCGTCATTAGCAATTAATTAATTATGGCTAATGGAAACTATAAACAATCCTGTCAAGTATCTTTGCCGCCTCGTCGCGTAGCCACTCTCTTCTCACTTAGTCAACGTGCTTCGTCGGGTCTCAAGGCCCTTAGAAAAAAGCCATAAAAATCGGTTCAATTATTTGAATTCCAACTCAATTACGCCATTCTTATATTGAAAAATGGCTTTAAAAAATTGGTAGATGCTTCGCGAACTTCTTTTTTTTCCATTTTTAAATTCCTTTAAAAAGAATAAAAAATTAATGTAAATGGTGTTCAAAATGAAAAAGGACAGATAATATGCATGAATTTACTATTTTTATAAACTCGGCATTTTTCATTAAATTCGCTTCGCTGACTTGTCGGGTCGGCCAGATTTCGCCAGCGAGTCACTCGGCTACAGAAGCACAGCGCAAGTAGGTTGCCATTATCAGCTGGCTTTTTGCGGACAGTTTTATCCGTGTCGCGAATAGAACGACTGCTTCTGACAACGCAACGCCAAGGCAGCTGTACTAGCCGTTCTACAAATTTATTATTTGTATTAATATTTATTGGTAATGAAATACAAGAAAATTTTTAAGAAACGATC